CTCCTCCATTTCTGTCTCTGCCCACAGCTTCCAGGGACAGTCAGGCAGGCAGGGATTGTTTGCTTTTAAATTAGCTTTTGGATCTCTGGCATCAGACAATAAATTGAACATATTGGAAAGAGAAAAGTTGATTCAAGAGATAAGATTTTCAGCTTTTATTTGGGATGTTTTCTCAGATGACCTTGGACCCGTGCTCTCTGGGTTGGGTTTATTTAATTGTATTATCTTGTTTTTTTAATGTTTAATTTTTTATTTTTTAATTTACATGTGTTGTTATTGTTTTAACAGAAGTGACAGCTTTGAGAATCCAGTGCTGCAGCAGCACTTTAGGAACCTGGAGGCCTTGGCTTTGAATAAGATGGAGCCTGAACAAGCAGTAGACCTGACAAGTAAGATGGCTGGGACTGAGCTGAGTCCTTTCCATGGGAGGCTTCCTTAGCGATTTCACACTGGGCCATAACATTGATGCGTTTCCTAGCACCCTCTAAAGACTTAGCCTCATTGTCCGGACCATCTCTGTTTGAGAGATTTTCTAGACCAGCTTAAACTGCCAGGGAACAGATCTGGCTGGTTCCGCAGTGAGAGGAGAGAAAGCATCACAACTAGGCCACCTTGTGACTACACGTTGGTAAGTGTTTAAGAAAGTCATCTATAACATTTATTGAGTGCTTACTGCATGTGAGGTACTGTTGTCTCACTTAATCCTTATAACTTTGAGGTAGGTGCTGTTATTGTCCTTATTTTACAGAGCAGGAGTAATTTGCCCAAATCACTAAGTAGTGAGTGGTGGATCTAAGTTCAGAATTCAGGGAGTCTGACCCAGAACCCTTGCTCTGAACCACTGCGCTTGTTTCCTGTCAGACTGCATGCTCTTCCCGTGAAAATCTACCTTGTTACCCAGCACCAAAGAGATAGGCCTGGCTCCAAGGCCACAGTTCTCCGAGCTCCCTGCTGGTCCCTTTCTTGATTGTGATTCTCTCACGTATTTCATAAGAGGATGCATGAGGTTTCATGATGTGAGTAAATACCCACTGGGAAACGGATTGAATGTAATGAAGACTCTTGACAGAGGTTGAAAAGATGAGAGCAATTAGTTCGGCCTGCTTAGCTTCCAAGTTCTTAATGTATCTCTTTTATATGAGACAGAATAGCCTCGGCATTAGAGTTTGGATCTGGCAGATCTTGAGGTAAGCAGCCCATGGCTTCCTTCATGGCTTTTAGGCAATCAGGAAGTAAATTGCCTTGTCTCTAGCAAGGTGATAAGGGCACAGGCTTTGGAAACATCTGATATAGATTTGAATCCCAGCTCTGCCACCTACTAACTTGAGTGGCCTTGGAATAATCTCTCTGAAACTCAGTTTCTTTATTAGTAAGATGGAGGTAATGATATTGTTTTTATAAGGTGTTAGCAAAAGGTAGGTCCTGACACTCAGAAGTGCTCAGAACACTGTTCTCCTTTATTCTAGAGCATTCTCTCTTACCTCCTCACCACAGCCTCAACCTCTTGTGTTCTGTCTTCCTGCCCTATAATTACTGCAAGTCTTGTTTTCTTTTCCTACGTCTATTTTCAAAACAATTTTGGCTTCTCTGGTATTTCTTATAACATGAATGACCTGGGTTCCTACTGTCAGCACCCCATTCTCTCCCTTTCTGTTGGTTATCTGGTCCATTCCCATAGCTTCAGGTGTCACCTCAGGTCCATGACTCCCAAGCCTGTGTCTCCGATCCTGTCCTTTCTTCTAGGCTCTTGCCTGAGCTGGCAGCTGCCTGGTTGGCATTGCTGTAGGACTTGGGTATCCTGCCGCTGACATCTGACTCCTTTGACTCTTCTGCTCTTTTACATCCCTCACTCACCTCTAATCAGATGTGGTCTGTTTCTGTCTGACACAATGATAGGGTTTTCTTTTTAATACTTACTGAAGACTTGAAATTATTTTCTCACTTTGGCATACTGTCTTGGTTTTCCCCTGTGCCCATTTTAACCCTGAGGAAGGTTCCTTTGCTGTTCCTGTTCCCTTTCTTCCTCTGGACATGGGGGCACACTGGCGGTCCTGAGCCCCATCTTAAGCCTTGCCCTGGGTGTGACTCAGCTCCTGTTAAAAGCTCTACTAGTAATATAGTTGTAAGGTAACAAAAAAGGAAACAAAAGTATCTTTCCCACAAAGCCTCCTTTCCTATTGTATTTGTCTGGGAGATACTCCTGCCCTCCCAGCTGCATCCCTCCCCTTCCCCACTGCCCCCACACCTCCTATTCCATCAGGAAGTCCTGGTGGTTCTGTCACTTCTGTTTGCATGCCCATCGCCCCGCCCCCCAGGGTTCCACGCTTCTGCCTTAGCCTTTCAGCTCATACTCCGTACAGCTGTCAGAGTGACCTTTTTAAAATGTAGGTCTGACCATGTTGTTCCCCTGCTCTTAGCCCTTCCAAGTTTCTCAACTGCTCCTAGGGGAAGGTCTGCTCCTTGGCAGGCATTCCAGGCCTCTGTGACCTTGCCGTGCTTGCCTTTCCTGCCTCCCTGCTGGTGTTCCTCTCCTCACACCTGACCCCCAAACAGTGTACTCACCACTACAGGCCTTCTGCCTGAGGAAGAACACAGTTTTCCAGACTCTGCTGCAGTCTTTCCTGACCCCTTCTGCGTCCCAGTGTGCACGTACAGCCCCTGCTTTTGTGGCATTGCCCAGGTCTAGGCATTGATGTTTTAGCCGTCTTCTCATCCTGATTAGTAGCCCGTGAGCCCACTCAGGCATGGCCGCTCCTTGGGATCCTCAGAACCTAGCCCAGTTCTCATCTCTGCCACTTCCCAGCTGTATGACCTCAGGCAGGTCACTGAACCTCTCTTGCTTTCCTCCTCTGTTAAATGGGGAGACAGATTTACCTACCCCAGAGGTGGTTAGAAGGATTAAATAAAAAAAGTTCTCAGCATTTAGGAGAGTGCCTGGCTGTAGTAAGTGCTCATAAAATGCACTTGTTAGAAGGAACTTGGTAAATGTTAGACTGTTGAATGTTTTCCTGGTCTATCAGCTGCTTTCTCTTGCACCCTTCCCCAGGTTACCCCCATCCCAGCAGCCAATGCTCTCCTCTGTGCCCTGTAGAGTTGGAACTGGACAGGAAGCCAGGGCTTGTAACTCGTGAGGCCACTCTTACTATGTTTTGATTTTCTAGTGCCCAAGATTGAAGAAATGGATGAAAGACTTGGCTCTCTGGTCGATGAGTTTAAGGAACTTGTCTACCCACCAGATTATGATTCTAAGGGAAAAGCTCCCAGGGAGAAACAAGGTGAGGAGCTGGGTGTGGCTGTTCAGTGGCATATCTTTAAAAGTTTTGGTTTTAAAAAGTTTAGCCTTTATGGTTCTATCAGAGGATAATGTTCCTTCGGAAATATCTATACAAACCTACATATTCATATATACAAACATTTCAGCACAAATTGGATAATACGTTTTCTAGGTTTATTTTGTTACTCAGCTCTATTTGTTGGACATTCATATCCATACTTACGTATCTACTTCATTTTAAAAATGAAGCTACAAGAGTACTTCATTGGCTTGATGTACACAGTGTATCCAACCAGACCTTTATCAATGGCTATGATGCCATGAATGTGTACTGTCACTGTGTACTTTTGTGAGCAGATTGACTGGATAAATTCTTGGCAGTGGAATTGCTGGGTCAAGGTGTAGACACTGAAAATTCGGATAAGAATTGTCAGTTTGCCTCTGAAAAAGTGATACAATTTATACCCTGTCCAAGAAGGGATGGGTGTGTTCTCTATACTCTCACTAATCCTAGATTTTATGTACTATTTTTTAAATTTTCACAAAAAATAACAGGGAAAACTCTATATCCTGTTTGACATGCAGTTCTCCAGTTATGAGTGAGATGTAGTTTTATTGGACTTTTTGTGTGTGTGAACTTCATTATTGGCCTCAGCCATTTTTTCTATCAGACTGTCCTTTTTCTTACCTCCAGCCCCAAGTACTCTTTGCTGTGACTCATATTCTTCAGGAAAGCCAGTTGTGAGTTCCTCACCATTTGGTAATAGTTCTGGCTTAGGCTGTAATGCTTTTGGCTATCTTTGGTTCAGCAAAGACAAATCTAGACATGTGCAGTATAGCTAGGATGCCATGGTACTATTTCCAATCACTTCCTCATGGTCTTTTCTCCAGGTAGTGAAGATTCTGGAAGCAAAAGGCCCAAGGTAGAATTTTCTGAAGAGGAGCTGAAGGCCCATGTCAACAAGGGCACACTGGGGAAACTCACTGTGCCGATGCTCAAGGAAGCCTGCAGGGTTTTGGGGCTGAAGGGTGGGATGAAGAAGCAGGAGCACAAGAGTACTTCATTGGCTTGATGTACACAGTGTATCCAACCAGACCTTTATCAATGGCTATGATGCCATGAATGTGTACTGTCACTGTGTACTTTTGTGAGCAGATTGACTGGATAAATTCTTGGCAGTGGAATTGCTGGGTCAAGGTGTAGACACTGAAAATTCGGATAAGAATTGTCAGTTTGCCTCTGAAAAAGTGATACAATTTATACCCTGTCCAAGAAGGGATGGGTGTGTTCTCTATACTCTCACTAATCCTAGATTTTATGTACTATTTTTTAAATTTTCACAAAAAATAACAGGGAAAACTCTATATCCTGTTTGACATGCAGTTCTCCAGTTATGAGTGAGATGTAGTTTTATTGGACTTTTTGTGTGTGTGAACTTCATTATTGGCCTCAGCCATTTTTTCTATCAGACTGTCCTTTTTCTTACCTCCAGCCCCAAGTACTCTTTGCTGTGACTCATATTCTTCAGGAAAGCCAGTTGTGAGTTCCTCACCATTTGGTAATAGTTCTGGCTTAGGCTGTAATGCTTTTGGCTATCTTTGGTTCAGCAAAGACAAATCTAGACATGTGCAGTATAGCTAGGATGCCATGGTACTATTTCCAATCACTTCCTCATGGTCTTTTCTCCAGGTAGTGAAGATTCTGGAAGCAAAAGGCCCAAGGTAGAATTTTCTGAAGAGGAGCTGAAGGCCCATGTCAACAAGGGCACACTGGGGAAACTCACTGTGCCGATGCTCAAGGAAGCCTGCAGGGTTTTGGGGCTGAAGGGTGGGATGAAGAAGCAGGAGCTGCTGGACATGCTCACCAAGCACTTCCAGGACTGACTAGAGACTAGCCAGCCAGCCACCCTTCCACACTGTAGCCAGGTTGCCTAGTTTTGTTCTCTTCAAATTAAACAATGTTTCTCCTGAGCTAGGAAGAGTAGGCCTGCAAAAGCCAAGGATTTTACCTTTATGAGACTTTCTGTTGCTGTGGAGACAGCATAGCCTTTGCACTTTGCTGTACTGTACTGTCTGAATAAAGAGCCTTAACTTTGTTATTATATATTCTCCTTTCCTGTGAAAGAGAAAATTGTGTCTGCTTCCCATTCAGAGATCACTTGCCATTGGCTATTAGCTTAATTTTCTCTCCCACTGGGAACACACATCAGCACAATGGAAACAAAATAAGTATCACTGAAGCTAGGGGAGAATGTGACCATTTAGGACAGGTGAACATACTTCAGGAGTGAGAAGTCCTGGTAAGATGATATTCTCCCAATCCTCTGTTCTCCCACATATTTTCCTCTTCTAGTATCATACTAAGATCTAAAGATGAGATTTGAGAAACAATAAGAATGTAACATAATTCTGGTACTGTTTGCTTCATGAGTAAATAGCAGGCCCCTCATGTTGCGTTCCACTTAATGTGACATTCAAGTATATGAAGATAAATGTTTTCTATTGCCCTGAGAATTTGGGTTCTATTGTAAGTGAAATGAGTTACTTCTCTTATTTTTCACAGGGGCCATATAGAAGCTCAAAATGAAGAGCAGAGTGTTAGAAGGGGAAGAGGAGGGGAGTGTGTTTTTGTTTTCCCCGCTCTCACACCCCGATTCCTCCTCTCTCCCTGTCCCTTTCCTGGTCTTCCTGCTGCTGTTGGTTTTGAAGAATTAGTCTGAGAGAAGAAGGAAAGTATCTGGGAGAGTCTGCATCCTCCAGGGTAGCTTGAGGTTCGGGGTTTGTAGGTCCTGTGACTTTGGGGACTAGAGCATCTCGAGTGTGGGAGTTGTCAAATTACGCTTGAAACGAGTTTTGGTTTTGGAATCTGCTCTTAGTTTTCTAAGTTTTTTGTTTTTTTAACTTGTTTTTTATTTTGTTTTTGTTTGGAAAGGAGGTGTTCTTGTTTGGATTTCTTTGTTATCTGGGGGAGAGGGAAGTAATTTTCCAATTACAAGAGTTGCTTTTGAAGATATACCAAGTTAATGCAGAACCATTTTAATATAGTTAAGTGTTCATTCTTGTTGAGAATATACACCATCCCTCTTAATGGAGCATGCTTGGAAACTGGATTCTAGAGGGGATTACTAATACCACAAAGACTGGTTAGAATCAGGCTAGTTACCACAAGGGCAAGAATGAGTACCATCAAGGGACCTGTTTTCAATCCCTGGACTTCCTGGCTGGGAGGAGCCCTGGAGTGAATTCCAGGCTTTTCTATGCATCCCTGAAGCCCTCAAGTTAGGCTCCCTTTCCTCTGTTCTCCAATTTACAAAATGGAGCAAATGAAAGGGTCAAACAACAAACTACCAGAAATGTGAAGTTAGACAAATAACCACTCAAGGTCTGTGATAAATAGAAGTCATGTGATCTGTTTCTCTGGAAATTGATGTCTGCCCTCACTGCTGGTGAGCTCCCCAGGAAAGAAGAAATATGTCCAGACAGTTTGTTGGGCTTTTTGTAAGTTGGCAAGTCAGATAGTTCCTGACGATAGTTAACTTCCTAGGGACCACACCTCTCAAGCAAGCTAAGCACCTCCTTTAACCTGCACACCAGTCAGCACTGCCCCTGCCTGCCTTAAATCACCCCAGGGCTAGGTACCAGGCACCTGGACGCCACCCTTAAGGGCTAAAGCCCACTGGAATTGTTCAAGCTGCCAATCCTAAACTGTTTACTATGCCCCATCTTGCCTTTGCCATGGAAACCCCAAGTAAAGGCTGTGGCCCAAGTGTTCACCTTGCAGTTGCTTCTGCCACCTGACCAAAACCTGGTACTTCCCTCTGTGGCACATGCCCTCTTCTAATGGGAAATTTAAGTAATGAATTTTCAATGACATTGACCTCTTCTCCCTTGAGTTCAGTTACTTTATAAATTAAAAACCTGTGAGTAGAAAGGGATATTGCTAGTACAGACTCATTGCTATGGCTGGCAAAGTTGGCAGTAACTGTTCACTGGAGGCCTCAGGACCTCTCCATAGGCTGCTTAAGTCTTTATAACACGTTTATGATTTCCTTCACAGCTGTGCTTTATTCACTATATGTGCTTTATTCCCACCAGGAGGTTTAAATGTTTTAACAATAAAGTATTAACAAGGGGCCATGTGGTGAAAAATATGCAGAAAGTTGCTCAGGCTGAGGGTGGGGGTGGGGGAGGGAACTGATAAGGAACAGGCTGTACCTATTTGGGAAAAGAAAGTTTTAAAATCTGCCAGTAAAGACAAATGTAAGGGAAAGCCTAATATGGATATAACTTACTTAGGTGGCTTTGGAGAAAGACTAAATCCTATAGTACTCAGCCAGTGAGGAAACAGGGTAGGGACTCCCGTGCTAGGGAATAAAGTACTTGCACCAACTACCCCAGGTGTGCCTGCTCACTAGACACCCAATCTTGCGAGACCATCATTAAAGCCTCACTCTGCTGTACTGTCTCGTGTCCACTTACTGAGTTTGGACCAGTGAGTGTGTTTCTCACAATAGCCACTGATCCAGAGATAAAGGCCAAAGCTGCAATGTCTTTTATGGAGACTTGGAAGTCACGTATCATTCTGCCATACACTGTGTCATGCTGACCAGCTCTGGGCTGGTTTGGGCAGAGACTACGCAAGGGCATGAGTCCCAGGAGGTGAGGATAATTGGGGGCCATTTTGGAGGCTGGCTGCCACAGGGGATCATGGAAAAGAGAGTTGCTACCTTAAATTTTTCTTCCTACAGAGGATAAGCAAGTATATATACCGTCAGCCTTGAACCCCACTGTAAGAAGATATATCTGCTAAAGACAGAGGCACACAGTCTGACTTTCAAAATGTAATTTAGCTGATACTAAGAGGAATTTAGGGATACTAAGGGCCTAAAACAAGTTCCTCTCCCTGCCTTCCCTATGGCATCAGTTTGGCAGTAAAGATGATAGACATGCCTTGTTTAGTAGTTAACACAACAAATGAATAATCTCTTTAACAAGGCCATTATTATGTCAAAATATCCCTTAAACATAGGTTCTAGCAGGAAAACTTACTCTAAAACAAGTTCCTAACTAGTGTTTGGAGTCAGAGGACCCTTTGAGACCTGATAAAAGCCAGTGGGTTCTCTCTCCATAGTCAAGCATTTATATGCAAAATGCTGTAACTTACTTCATTGGTGGCTGGATAGGAGTTACCAGATTTCCTTCTTGCTTGAATGCCTAAACTTCAGGAATTATTCGTTCTGCACTTTGGAGTGTCTATGTTACGACCTTTCAGCACATGCTAGGGCATGATCAAGTTCCTGCTAATGAGGGCAATAATCAATCTCAGATATTAGATAAGGACAAGTTAAAAACTAGAATTTTGTAGTGCTAAAGGGAAAAGGAAACATGAAATAGATTGTTTGGAAAGGCCCTAAAGGGATATTTGAATTAAAACCAGCATGAAGAGAAAGCCTCAAGTGCAGTAAAGGAATACCAAGTACAAAGAATCTGAGAAGGAAACTACTAGTGTGTTCCAAGAAACCAAATGTGAAACACTGAGCAGAGATGACGGAGAGACAGACACAGGACAGGTAGTGGCCGTTTGGAATGAGGAAAACAGCCATGGGAAATTAGTTTTCAGGTGATAAGATTGACACCATGCCCTCTGACGGCTTACAGCACAGCTGTGCGACCTGAGCTAACACGCCAGGGTAGAGGGCTAGAGAGGGCTGGAGGCCCCAGGAGCCCCTGCCCCCACCCTTCTTAGGGCTCTAGTGAAGTCTGCCCTCTGTTATTTGATTTCTGGACCTCCCTGTGCCCCCAAATTGTCTTTAGAGAATGAGTATAAAGATACATATGACATATGAAAGTACCTAAAAGTTCACCATCCACAAATATAAACTGTTTGGGTGAGCATGGGGGTATGTAAATACTGGAGTGAACTGGGGAAAATGACTAGGTCTTAGGACAGGGTGGTTTCCAGGTTCCCAAGGTGGACTTTCATGCTTGAGTGGGCACACTGGCCCACACCCGCCAAGAGGAAACTAAATATAATCTATCTTCATTGATTTACTTTGGAAGAAAATTTCTCAAGCTGAGGTTAAAAGGCTCTGATGGTTCCCTTAGATAAAAAGTAGAAAAGGAGGATAAAGTGGCAGTAGCTTCAGTCCCCAATACCAACCCCCTACTTCCTGCATGTGCCAAGGGCTACTGGGAGTCTATAAATTCTGAAACAATGGTCCTTAACTAAGGGTGACTTTGCCATCAGGGACACTTGGCAATGTCTGGAGGGACAGAGGAAGACTGCTACTGACATCCAGTGGGTAAAGGCTAGGCGTGCTGCTAAAAATTCTACAACATACAGGGCAGCCCCCCACCAGAGAAACCATACAGCCCAAAATGTCAACAGCGCTGAGAAACCCTGTTCTAGGATGACAGTAACACCTCAAGGATTAAGTCTGTTCAAGACATTTTCAAACACCAGAAATTGGTGGGAAGTGGCTTTCCCCCAGATTCTTGACAAAAAGTTTATAGAGAAGCTATAACCATTCTAATAATGCTAGGCAGCTCTTCAGCCGAGTCTTAGCAGGATACCTACTAAGAATCACACTCCTTTTAAAAACTGGCATATGAATATATTTATTAAGACACTCACAGGAATGACACATTTGCACTGTCCTCCTGATGTGATAAAGCATACATACATTTGACCCATACTGTGGCAGGAAACAGACTCTCAGAGCTGGTACCAAGCGTCCACTGAAGAAATCGCCATTCACCAGAGAGACAATGTTTCCTTAGATCCCACCATCTGCTGCAGCTTCTAGTTAGGTCTCCACAAGTTGCTCAGAATCATTCATTCCAGCACCAGGTGACCCCTCTTTTTCCTTGCCACTCCAGACTCCTTTCTAGGTCAACTCCCCACGTCTCACTCGCCCAGGTTACCACTGGAATTGTGCAGCACCTCTCTCTGGTATACTGCTGCCCTGCCACCATCAGGGACACGGTTGGGAGTTAGGGGTGGGGAACATAACACATTACCGCAGCAAACAGCAAGGGTACATTAGCAAAGGGCACTTGGACACACACTTAACAACCTCACAGAATACATGCTTCCTCCCCAAT